TCATGCGCTTTGTAATCCCCTTGCACCCAGCATGGCATCGGGCCCCTGCCACGGGCTTCCCTATGGCATGGCAGGTGAGGGATAGCTCTGCCCTGGGGCTTCAGGCGGTGACTGATGGCGGATGTCCCTGAGGTTTGGGGACTCGCCCATCTTTCCTGCCAGCTCCACCACCCTGCTGCCTGGCTGCTGCGGGTGAGTGCTCTCTTCCTGACCACAAAGGCCTGCCCGCCGGGGGCTGCTCTGACGGGCAGCAGACCCGCTTCTTCCCAGACAGCGAACTCATGCTCACGGGGCCTGGGAGCTCAATGCCGTGCTGGGTGCAAGGGGATTGCACAGTGCCCGGGGCCTGCTGTGGTGGTGGGGGTACTGGCCCCGGGGAGTCAAAAGCAGTCAGGCACCTGGCGGGGCTGCTGCTGGGGGCGTAACTTGGCTCAGGGGATAGGGACTGGGTCAGAGGTTCTGATCCAGCCCAGCCTGGTCCCTGTGACGCCGGGGGGCTGGCTGCAATGAGCTGGCCTGAGCTGTGGTGGTAGACAGGAGGTGGGGGTCGTACCCAAGGAGCAGAGACATGGGCTCCCCCATTTGCCCCCTGGCTGGCAGCACTCTGTCCCTGTGTGCAGGGGGCAGCGCCAGCGCAGGTGCTAGGAGCTCGCCCCCTTCTGGATACCCAGAGACCTGCAGGGCTCTGAATCTGGCACCGCTCCCCGATTTAGGGAATGGCCCGGGAGGACCGAGCCCCTCAGGACCAGGGCTGATCGCAGCCTCTCCTCTCTGCAGTGGGACCCGGGGCTGGGCTCAGCCTCCTGGAGAAGGTGGAGCCGTGGGAGCCCCAGGGTAGGCACGGGGAGCGGGTGGAAACGGCTGGTGCTGGCTCTGTGCTGCCAGAGGGTGAGCGCACACCGCTAGGGATTAGGGGCTGCTGAACCTGTTAGCTGCTCAGCGCTCTAATTAGGACAGGTTTCATTACCGAGATGCACTGGCCACTCAACTTCAATTTGCAGAGCTGCTGAGCAATGGGCCTCGCCAGGCGCTGAGCAGCCCGGGGCACGTCCCCGAGCTCACAGCTAAATTCAGCTCGGCTATTTATGGCTCAGGACAGCAGCAGCCTGGTTCCTGCAGGGGCTGGGGTGAGGGACTGCACTGGGGTGGGGGCAAATGACCGGGGCTAGCAGTGCCAGCAGCGAGGGGGTCCCAGCGACGGGCACCTGGTTCCTTAGCAGCTGGGTGTTAGTGTCCCTTTCAAGGGGCCTAAGCGGGTGCGCTCGGGCCGAAGTCAGCTCGGGGAGGTGGGGGCCAGGCTGGGTGGGGTCTCTTCATAGCCACCTTCCCCTTTCTGGTTGACTCAGCCGTGAGCTAATGCTGGCCCTTCCCCCAACTCAGCTGGCTCCTGGGGCACTGCCTCTGACAGGACTCCCCCGACTGCTCCATGGCCCCCAGGGTGCTACCTCCAATGGGGTCTGCCAGCCGCTCCCTGGCCCCCCGGGAGCTATATCCAGTGCATTATTGCACGTACTTGAAATTGCCTCCGCACGCCACATTTGTCCCCCGTGCCCTCCGCTTGCCCACGGAGCAAGGAAGGCTCAGACCTGGGCTGGCACTGGCAGCTGCTAGTGTCTGCTCCAGTATGGGACCCCACTGCGCCTCCCACACACACCTCCTGGGAGGGGCTGGCGGGGGCAGGGTAGAGCCTTTTAGGTTCCTCCCAAATTCTATCTCATCTCTGCCCCCTCGTGCCCACTTCCCCCTTGTGCCGTTCCCTGCCTCCCCCCTTCAGCCCGGCCTGGCTCACTTCCGAGCTGCCTAACCCTTGTCTCCAAGGTGCTGTTGATCTGCAAACCTGTTTTTCCAGCCCCCGAGTAAAGGTTAGGCAGCCAGGCAGCACAGACGGGCGTCCCGTTGGCCGTGGGCCTGTGTGGGGACTGCTGGGCTGCTCTGATGGGATGAGGGGGACAATGCCTCCACTCCAGTGAGGACCCTGGGGACTCTGCTCCCCTCTCTCCTGGCTACCAAGCTGCTTCTTTCCTGTATTCCAGCCCTGCCTGGCACCCTTCCCTGGCGAGGGCTAGTCAGGGAGTTCACTCCCCCAGGGCTGGAATCTGGGAGAGGCTTCTGGCTCCTGGCACAGGGACACAAAACCTTCCCCCCTTGGGCTGCAGTCGGAAGGAGCCAGCACCACTCAGAGCACCCGCTGGGTGCCAGTCCAGCTGCAGGCAAACGGGACCTGTGTCGCCCTCTGGCACTCGTTGCCAGTGCTGTCAGAAAGGCCACAGCTCCGTAACTCCCTTGCCAAGCAGCTGGGTCCCCCAGGAAACACAACTGCCTTGCACTAGGGCCCAGACGTCTAACTCCCTTAGAGGATCAGGGCCTAGGGCAGAATTGCACCCTGTACTAATAGTCACTAATGGCCTGCGTCATGTCCTGGGCTGTCATAGCCATTCCCGCAGCTGGATCCATGTCATTCTCCTCCTCTTCGGAGTGGGGAAACTGAGGCACAGACTTGCCCAAGGTCATCCAGCCAGCGCGCGTCTGTGAGAGCTGGGAATTGACGCCCCCTGCTCCTATCTCCCAGGCTTGTGTCCTACCCTGGGACCATGCTGTCTCCCTGTTTGGCTGAGGGGCTCTGTGCTGTGGATGCCTGTGGGGGGGGTGTTAACTGGGATTTTGGGGTTGAAGGGGCTGCCAGTGTGGAAGCTGTCGCCAGTGCTCTGCTCTTTTTGCAGAGGCCCGTGGGGAGATCAAAGCAGGCTGCCTGTAAATAGACTGCTTTCCACCAGGCGTTGACGGCTCTCTAATTGATTTCTGGAGCAGCGTGGCGCGTTTCCGCGCAGCTGTTTGTTTTTACAAGGCTGGCGCGTTGCTTTCCACTTGGCACGCACGCTCCCGCTTGTGCTTTCGCTGCAGATTCCCCAGCACTTAGCAGCCCGGCCTCAGGTCTTCGAGTGTTGCACTTAATGAGTGTAACGGTGTCTAGAAACTGGCTCAGTATGCAGCAATGTGTATGAAGAGAGAGTTAGCCTCCAGGCACCGGCCAAATGGGATGGATGCAGCTGTAGGTCCTTCGGGCTTCCATGAGAAAATTGATAGCCTGGGTTCCCCGTGGCCTGGAAGTTCCTGAAATTAAAGCCCAGACACTGGTCAGAGAGCAGGATGGTCTAGTGGTTAAAGCATTGGCGTGGGGCTTGGGAGATCTGGGGTTAGCTCCCAGCTCTGCCACAGATTGCTTTCACAACCTTTGTCATGTCACTTAATCTCTCTGGGGATAATGATATTAGTCAGTCTTGTCTGCTTTGGTTGGAAGCTGTGAGGGGCCAGGCCTGTCTCTCAGTAGTGTATGTGCCCTCCCCTGGCGCTAGTGTCATGCTGTGAGTGAAGTATGTGATCTCTTTGCTCTATTGAGCGTGTCCACCATGCACAGGGACCTGCACTGCGCTGAGGAGACACCCACCGGCCCCCGTGCACTGGTCGCAAGGTGTGGCATGGAGTTTTTCTGGGGATTGACTCTTATCGGCTTGCTCTGCCGCCCTTTTCAGGAGCCTGGAAGGCTTTGTCTATTTACACTGCATTGTAAACCCGGGGCTGTAAGACTCCGCGTTTCCATGCTGCACTGTAAACCTGGGCTTACCATTGCTGGAACCGGGTCTCCCAGCCGTGCTAACGTGTCCACACTGCACCGCGTGGACCTTCTGCCTCAGGTCTGCAGCTAAACCTGTGTGCACACTGCACGGTGACAGGGCTTGGACCCGAGTCACAGCAGGATTCTGGATCTGACCCCCGTCCTTCCCCCAGCAGGGTCCTGAGTGCTCACTGACCCGAGTCAGGCTGATGTGCGTGTAGACGGAAGCGGGGCTTGGGCTCAAACCTGTCAGAGCCTGGCTTAGTGTGCAGTGTGGACACACCCAAAGGGAACCTGCCTCAGCACATTGCAAACGCCATTAGAAGGCTGCACTCGAAGAAAAACGCCTCTGGTAACAGAGACAATTATTTCCTTAAACTATTCCCTTTATTGGCAAAGAGCAGGGAAGAACAGCCCGGCTTCCTCCATAAACCAGAGACCCTGCAGCCCCTCTGGAGTGCCAGGAATGACTCAGAGGCTTAATTTGCACTGGAGCAGTGCAAACAACAGCCCTGAGATAAAAGTCAAACAGCTGGGATGTGCAAAGGGGCTCAGCTCCTTAGAGGCGTAATTCAGGACCCTGAATTCCCTGCCTGTAGATTGCAAGCCATTGTTTAACCATCTTAACAGTAGAGAAACTTCCATAGTAGACAGCACTTGTGGTAGCAAATGGATCCACCAAGACAGACTCCCCTACATGGACTTTGGTGGAGTTACACTAGGGAATAACCTGGCCCATTGACTCAGTGTCTTCTCTCCCATTGCATGCAGGGCAGGCTGTTACCCTCCAGCAGCTAGAAACCCCAGTCAGAGATGGGCCGGGCAGGGCCTGGGGACTGGTGATGGAACACGCAGCTCCTTGGTCGTAGATCAATAGTCCAGTGTGGGCCTGGTCAAAAACACTCGGCTCTCTGATGGCCTCTGTGACCATCAGCTGGTGACCTTGGTGCCGTCTCTTGGTGGCCGGGTGTTCTGATCTGCGGGCCCCACCCAGTGGGGTAGGATGCAGCATCCCGTGCCTGCAGCATTGGGGACCAGGGTCTTTCTAGCAGGGCAAGGAAGAGACATTCCATGGGAGCTGCAAGCGGGGTTCGGCAGGGACCCGAGCTGGAGCTGGGAGTTAGGAGGAGCTTGGATTTCGGTCTGAACAATTCTGTGCCCTGCACCGCCACAGACTCAGCGGGGAAGTGCCCCCTACAGGGTCACCAGCAAGGCTGCCTGGAGTTAGCTTGTGAAACGTGCCAAGATCAGCCCAAGGTGATGTGGCTGCAGGGAAGCGGGCCCATGGCATACTAATCAGCTGTGTGCCATCCCCCCTGAGCTTGTTTGTGTCCCGTCGGGCACCAAAGAGCTAATGCCAGTCCTCTGTCCTTGTCTTGTGTTGCAGAATATCGTTGCCAAGTATGGCGCTCAGTTCCGGGGGAACTCGCAGCACGACGCCCTGGAGTTCCTGCTCTGGTTGCTGGACAGAATGCATGAGGATCTGGGCTCCTCGTCGCCCAGCCAGAAGGCTAGGACAGCGGGCAAGGTCAGTGTCCTCTACCCTCCCTTGCCAGACATCTCTGCACTCTCTCCCCAGGGCACTGCTGTTGTAAGGAGCTGGCTGCGGTGTATGTGTCGCCACTGCCCTCTAGCGGGTGGGATCAGAGCTGCTCAGCTGTGTGTCCTAGGCCCTGCACTGCTAACAGATATTCTCCCGCAGTAAGGGCCTGCACTCTTGGGGTGGGGGAATTGGAGTGAAGTTCTGTGTGGCCGCTGTGTTAGTGCAGCAGTGGGACAATGGAAAAGACCTGTAGGATGAGGATAAATATGTCAAAGACTGTGAGATGCTCAGGTACTGTGGTGAGGGGGTGCTCTGCTACCTAGCACTGAAATGCAGCCACCGCTGGGGTGGAACTCAGCAGCTCTGTAACTGTGCACAGCGACACTGCACCACAGTTTAAAACAGGAAGTGAAGGAGGCTGTCATGCGCAGGGCAGCTGGGTGGGCAGACTGTAATTAGCCAAGCTGGGTTTCGGGCTAGAGTGGAGAGACCGGTTTAACGAATCTTTCCCCTTTTGGGTAGGGAAATATCTGTGACTAGACGTAGGGTTTTACGGGTAGGCTCGTTATTTGGTCAGTGGTTTGTGGGAGCATATCTCAGCCCAGGGCTTGCCTGGAAGTTGCCCAGCCCCGTGTATAACTCTCACACCAGTCCTAGATCCTGCCACGCTGCTCTGGTAGCATGCTACCTCCGCTGTGCACAGGTGCGACTGACTGCATGCAGCCCCAGTGCATTGGGCCCACTGAGTTTTGCTACTCAAAAATTCATTATCTGCCTTGTTTGATTGGTTTCCTAAGCCACATGGGATAGTTTCCTCTTCTTGACTGGTTGATTCCCAGACCTGCTAAGAGCTCTGAGTGGCTGTGAGAACAGATCCTGTGAATTCAGATCTGCCACACCTTCTTGCTCTGCAAACATCCCTGCAAACGCTTCTCCTGCTTCCCTCTTCTTTCCTGGCCCAGGTATGGAACCAACCTCTCGCTCCCACCCTGGAGTCCCTCCGCTTCATCCGACCCACTGACTCTGTCAGTCAACCGCCCTCTCCAAGGTGACCCCTCGCTCAGCACATCCTACCAAAGAGCTGGCTGGCCTGGTTTTGGCTGCGGCCTGGTCTCGCCATGGGATTCGGCCAGCAGCAGCCAGCAAGTGAAGCCCACACAGAAGCCGTGATTTACACCAGTAAAGTTTCCTCTGGCTTGAAACGGGTGTGAGCTCAACTGGTGCAAAGCGGATGGCTGTTGCTAGGGCAGGCCAGGACAGCCTGGGGGTTTGTGGAGTCTCCCTCTGTCTTCCTGGCTGATGTTCCTCGGCTTCCACCAGCCTTCATGGACGCTGTGGGGGGGCCTGACCCTCTGGCTGGCAGGACTGGGCACACCTGGGGGGAGACCCCCCCCTCAGCATTTGCCCCCAAACCTGCACTGAGGTTGGCCCCAAAGCATCCCTGCCATGGGCGGATCTTGCAGGACTGCCAGCCCAGTGTCTGCGTCGTGCCAAGGGCCTGGTTTCTCTGTGGGCTCTGCCCCTGTGGTGGCAAGGCCTTGGGAGCTGGTTCCAGCTGGCATTGCTCTGCCCTTGGTGTGAGTCCCCCCTGCCCAATGGGGGGAACCCATGTCTCCACGTGGCTGCTAATCTTGCCATGCAGGATGTTCTCTATCATATCCCCCCCCAGTGCTGACCTCTGGCATGGTGCTAAGGGGGTGCCGTGCTGCAGTGCGGGGTGCTCTCCCCTCACCTCTGAGCCTCAGATCTGACCATATGGAGTCATCCCATTCCAAGGACCAACCTGTATGGCTAGAATAAAGGGAAGCCCCCCGGTCCCGAAGAGAGAGAACCAGCTAACGGTTAGAGCAGGGAAGTGCGCATCAGGATTCCTGGGTACTGTACCTCTCTCTGCCAGCGACTTACTGCATGACCTTGGGCAAATCACTTCTGCTCGCTGTGCCCCGCCTGCAGCATAGGGTTAGTGCCCCGGGCCTGCCCCTGGGGGCCTTGCAAAGCACTTTGAGGTACTGGCTGCAAGGGCCTGTACCTGGACGAAGGATCGTTGCTGTTGTTCAAACAGCTTTGTGCGGCACGGGGTCTGCACAGCAGCAATACCCAGAACCGGACAGCTCGGACCCCATCCTGCTGCGTCCTGTGGAGGGAGGCTCGGGGCGCATCGACTGTCCTGTGGGCTGGGCAGAGAGCGGGCACAGCAGAATGGGGGGTCTCCGAGGGAATGAGCTGCCTCCATCCATCCCAGTGACCCCCACCTTCAGAGGCACAAGTGAGTCCACTAGCTTGAGCACAGAGGCAGCGCGCCTGCCCATAGACAGCTCGGGGCCATGAGAAAAGTGGGAGAGGCAGGGGCCGGGGAAGCCAGAAAGCTGGTGGGAGCAGGGCCCGACGCAGGCAGCTGTCGCTGCTGGAGCACTCAGCAGATTTAACGAGGTTCCTCTGCCTTCACCCGGCCACGGCGCCCACGCTGCGCCTTGTGCGGGCCGCAGGCCCCTCAGGAGGGCCCCTGACCCCGTTTCCATCCCTGGCTGGGCCCTGAATGGGGTTGTCAGGCTGGGACCCAGAGAGAGACAATAGGGGAAGGCAGAGCTTTGAAAGCTGCTGCTCCCCCATTGTGTGCTCTGGCTTCGGGAGGCTGGGCAAGCGGCTGGGGCTGAATGGTGTCTGAGCTGGGGCTGAAAGAGGATGGCAAATAATGTGCTGCTTGTGATTCGTGGCACATAGTTGCTTGGCTGGCCCTCTGCCAGTGGCACATCCACCTTCGCGGGCGCCCTGGCCTTAGGAGGGGTCTGGCTTTGGGCTGTTCCTCCCCCACCCGTTCAGTCACCTCAGGGAGGCGATGTCCTTTCAGACGGTGCTCAAACGCGGGGCGCAGGGTTGGGCATCTGAAGGGGAAGACTGTGAAGAGGGGAATTCTGGCCCAGTGGGTAGGGCCCTAGCCTGGCACTTGGGAGACCCGGGTTCAAGTCCCTGCTCTGCCCCAGACTCTGTGTGACCGTGGGTAAATCCCTTAACTTCCCCGTGCCTCAGTTTCCTATTTATGGAATAGGGATAATAGCATTGCCCCGCCTTGTGGGATAAACACCTCAATCCTGGCCTGCCAATCCAGTCCCGGTGCCCACGTATCCCTGCCAGTGAATGCACCTCTTTCCTCACCCGCTGCTACTCCAGCTCCTACCCACTCTGGGAGCATGGCTCTTCTACAGACCACAGGGGATAAGGCTGAACCCCACCACACTCATTTCACCTCTGGCCACGCACCCTGCTCTGAAGTGGGGTCTCTAGCGAAGCGAGGCTGAGGCTTAGCGCCCGGCACAGGGCAGCCTGTCACTGCTCGTGACCGGCAGGATCCCAGCCATGCTCGGTGCAGACATCTCCGCTGCCCCCGCTGGGGACCGGCAACTAATGCAAGTTCCTGGGCAGCTTCATACAGGTTAATTCTGTGGGACATTAAAGCCTGTGCCGCTCGGCCGCCATCTGTGCGTTTGCCAGCACTTCCCTCCCCGCGACACTCCAGTGCCCATTAACAACCCCAAAGTGCCCGTTAGAAGCAGAGGCAAAACATCGCCGTGCGTATGTTTGCTTGGGGGAATTGGCTTTGTAGCTGTTGTAGTCAACGGCCCAGTGCCCAGCAGCAGGCAGGGACTGCCTCCTGGTGCTGTGCCACCCCTTGGCTACATGCTGGTCTCGCTCCTCCCCCTCCCTAGCTCCAACGAGGTCCTAGAACAGAACATGAGAATGGCCATGCTGAGTCAGACCAGTGACCCACGGGGCCAGGTGTCCGGTCTCTGACACTGCCCAGTATTGGAGCTTCAGGGGGAGTGTACAGAACAGGGCGATTTTGGAGAGATCCGCCCCTGTGTTCCCCTCCCAGCTTCTGGCAGCCAGAGGTTTAGGATTGGCCTGAGCACGGGATTACATCTGGCTAATGGCCATTGATAGACCTATTCCCCATGAATTTATCCAGTTCTTTGTTGACCCCAGTTATAGTTTTTTGCCTTCACAACATCCTCTGGCAATGAGTTCCACGGGTTGACTGTGCGTTGTGTGAAGAAATGTTTCCTCTTGTTTGTGTTAAACCTGCTGCCTATTTATTTCATTGGGTGACCCCTGGTTCTTGTGTTGTGTGAAAGGGTAAATAAAACTTCCTTATTCACTTTCTCCACACCAGTCATGATTTTTATAGACCTCAAACATATCCCCCCTTAGTCGTCTCTTTTCCAAGCTGAACAGCAATAATCTTTTCACTTGCTCTTTGTATGGAAGCCGTTCCATGCCCTTCTCTGAACCAAGTCCAGTTCCACTGTATCCTCTTTGAGATGGAGCGACCCGAATTGGACAAAGTATTCCAGGGGTGGGTGCACCATGGATTTATGTAGTAGCATTATATTTTCTGTCTTATTTTCTATCCCTTTCTTCGTAGTTCCTAGCCTTTTTGACTGCTGATACGCACTGAGCTGAAGTTTTCAGAGAACGATCCACGATGATTCCAAGATCTCCTTCTTGAGCGGCAACAGTCAATTTAGACCCCATCATTATATAGGTCTAGTTGGAATCATTTTTTTCCAATGTGCATTACTTTGCACCTATCAATGTTAAATTTCATCTCCCATTTTGTTGCTCAGTCACCCAGTTTTGTGAGATCCCTTTGTAACTCTTCGCAGCCAGAAAATGTGCCACTCTGTTGTTCACTCCCTTTTTCCAGCTCCTTAACGAACAGCACAGGAACCAGCACAGATCCTTGGGGGTTCCCGCTGTTTACCTCTCTCCATTGTGAAAACTGTCTATTTATTCCTACCCTTTGTTTCCTATCTTTTTAGATCCAGGAGAGGACCTTCCCTCTTATCCCATGACTAAGTTTACTTAAGACCCTTTGGCGAGGGACCTTTTCAAAGGCTTTTCGAAAGTCCAAGTACACTATATTCACTGGGTCCCTCTTTTCCACATGCTGACTCCCTTGAAGAATTCGAACAGATTGGTGAGGCGTA